GTAATGTAAGCTTCTTTATTTTTTAAAAGAATGTTTTAAAATTGCTTCTTTAGACTTTACACGCGGCCATATGAATAATTACTATGCTAAATTTCATATTATCTCAAGGTACAAAACAAAAAAAAACGTTTTCGCGTCGTTACTTTTCTCTACACTGATTGTATAGTTTTTATTAATGCTAATTGTAAATTAAAATCAAATAAAAAGCTTTTAAATATATGACAGATTTGCTCATCGTTATATAGTGGACTGTGACGTATTGAACTACGTCTATGGCCTTTCTAGGCTTTACATTGATTCAATAAAATACTCTACTCAGTTTGTTGCTTCAATTTGTGATGCTTTTAAAGCGAATCCTGCAACTACATATGTTCACTATTTCATATATCTATGTGTATATAAAGTTTAAAGTTATAGGGCATATAACGTCGATTCAATTATTTTTTTTTAATATAATGTCTACATATCTTGTGCAACAACTAACATAACCATAGTACCCAAATACTAAATAGATAAACCAGAATGTTAAATAAAACATAAATAACTACTTATACTTACTTACTTATTAATTTATGGATACAATTCTAAAATAATAAGGATAGGGTCTCAAACCTTTTAGACAAATTATACTAATGTCTTCGAGGTCAAATGCGAACAAGAGTTTCATAGTGATATAAGAAGGTAATTAATCAACTAATATTTAAAACCTGTTTTAGAATTGACATTATTAATAGTGCACAAAATATATGTTTAAATACTCAGTGGTGGCATAGTGGTTAAAAGTCATGCATGAGGGCGCGGGTTCAATAAAGGCATGTACTAATGTGATTATTCCTAAGTACTTTCTGAGATTGAGATTCGTGCATTCCCAAAGAGGGTTGATGTCAGGCGGCCGGTCGTAAAAATAATTAGCCTAAAACTATTTACAACATGTAAAGCAGACCCTGGCTAAAGCGGGGAAAATGCCAGGTGGAAGAAGAGAATATTTTATTGTACAGAAAAGATTATAAATTTGTTAAAAGATTCATGCTGTTATAGTGCTGGTAAAATTATGTATTTGATACGTTATATCCATAAACGATCATTTTATAATAATGAAAATATTTATTATATCACTTTATATTGTTTGTCTTACAGATTAAAGCTGAGTCATTTTATTATCAGCAAGACCTTTAGTAAAAAAAATATGGGAGTGCCTTTAACGTGTGTACACTCTTTAACGAGAAAGGAAAGTTACATAGTAAAAAGGTTTTATTACGAAAAAGACTCGGCATTTTCTTTATTGCTAACACATTTATTTTCCGCTATTTTGTACGTTTATTCGAATTATTTGAATGAGTTTAATAAAATCATCGACGCGATTTCTCGAGTTAAAAAAATATGGTTTACAGTTTACAGTTTCATGTCAAAATATTATAACTTTTTAATTGTCATTAGAATTTTGTCGAGTTGTATAAAAAATATTTGCAAAATATAATCTAACGCTTATATGTCTTCCTTTCAGTACCAAACTACAAACTAGGGTCTCGGATTAAATAAAATCCAACCCTTTAAGGTTCAAAAAATCCAATTACTGGATTTTTTGACATTGAAATTCCTGGTGGAAACAGGAAAAAACAAACATTTGTCAAATAAATTGATACATAAGAATTCAAAATTTATTCAAACTTTATCGTATAAAACTTATGCAGCTACGAGGTTCGTATATATATTTTGCTACGGAAAGTTTTAGATAATAGTTTTTCCACACGCAATTTCTACCACAATGTTAAGTGTTCATAAAGTCACATATATTGTGCAACAAAGAAACTACAATTACGCACATGGTATAGACCAACATTAAATACAAAATACGGTTGTTTTTTGTTTACGTTATGAAAATTTCGGCTTAAACGCATGATAAATTTTATCTCTAAAAGTAATTTACCAAATTTGTAAGAATAACAGATTAACAGAAACATTGAATGCTCCAGACTTGTAAGATTCTGAATTCCAAATGCCTGAAGTCACTTGCAACGAGTTTAAATGCTTAAATTGCTTTACTTTGATTCGAGATTCAAATCACGTTACAGAAGACCTGTAGATAAAACATAGGGTGCGAAAATGTTTGGAATATCAAATAGATGTTCTCCAAAATATATCTCTCTTCTATCATGGAAAGGGATATTATTCTGGATAAATGTTGAGAAGTTGAGTCTCCTGTGTTTGGCCTTAAAGAATTAAAAAAGTAATACTTTCAATATATTTTTTCTTATTTTGTGGCCACACTTAACATAAACAATATAATTTATATAAAATGATATTTTTTAATTGTTTATATATTTTTTAAAATGTGATATTTAAATTACTTTACTTAAATTGTTTCTTTTAGAATGTACATTCAATGAAAATCCTTCGAAAAAAGTATCGTTTACAAGACATAGGCCAATTTATGGTTTTTGGGTTTTAGCAGCCAAGAAAGTGTTTAAATTTTAATTTTAAAACCTAAGTCTTATTTCTTTTTTATATTATTTGAAACATATTATACGGTGAAGGAAAACATCGTGAGGAAACCTGGACTTCTAGTTTCACAAGTATAAGTTTGAAATCACCAACCCGTCTTGAGCAAGCGTGGTGATTAATACTCAAACCTTCTCCATGTGAGAAAGAGGCCTTTGCTCAGCAGTGAAGGTTTAAAGTTTAAATATATTTGGTTTATTTTGTAAAAATAATTTACGTTATGAATTATAATTTACCGTTCGAACTTTGACATTTCGTAAGTACGCAATAAAATACACCTCAATAGTTATTATGTTGAATGTCATTGTTTAATTAATATTAAAATTTCCTTTAATCTGTTTATAAAGAATTGTTAGATTGTTTTATTGGATAAATTATTTACTTATATTTCTGAAGTATTAATTATTATTAATGGTAACACCGTTTATCATTTATTATTCAGTTATTAGGCGCGTTGTTGATGTTCAATATATGTATATTACTGAGTTGAAATATTTAAAATTGCATTTGCATAATTGGTATAGGTTTTGGGAGAATTAGAGGCCGGCGCCTATCCTAACATTTCTAGCAAAAGATTTGTTTTCAGCTTATATATACGTAAATGTTGTGAAACAGTAACTTATATATTACTTTTTCTTATAAAACTCCTAAATTAATTAAAAACTTTCAACTATCAAGCGAAGCTGCTCGCCAAATATAATTGATTAATAAATAAACAAGACAAAGTTGAGACCTTTTTCAAATTCACTTTGCAAAATGCAAATAACATTAAAACTTGAAGAGCGAGGGTCGAAATTCAACATGAAACTAGTTGAAATGAATGTGAAATATGTCAATTTCACAATAACTTACTACTTATTGTATTTTCACGCATTAAAAAAATCAATTTCATTAAAAAATTAAACAAGAGAAAAAGAGTTATATGAGAACTTTATTTTCAACAATATTTTCAAATATTATTATTTTCAAATACCTACAATATTCATCATGCAGCAGGATTAAAAAGTTTTAATCAGTGGAAAATTCGTTTATAATCCTAATTATTGATAAAGCCCCGTCAGGCGATATATTTTATTCTTTAATGTTTGGTTTAGACTTTATTGACGACAATCCTGTAACCGGTTATTTTAGGAAATATATGTATTATTGTCGTTGTATTTCTCAAACAGAGTCGTCCCGTGTATTTAATAACTAAAAATGGGTTTATCCTAAAGCGTCTAACGTTGATAGTTGGCTTTGTGTTACAATTTAAATAGAACGGGGAATTGTGGTCAAATGTCAAAGTTATTTCGGGAATTGCCATTTATTATTACCAAAGTAATATTTATGCCCGCAAATACATATATGTCAAGACTGTAAGAGTAAATAAACCATAAATGATTTAAAAGTCCTTGAACTCTCAGAAGTCGTAGTAATTTTAAAAGTAAAATTAGGTAAAACTCTTAACAAACCCAAGATCATAAATAAACTCTCAAAGAAGCCTAGAGTGAAATTGAATTTACATAATAAAATAAAATATCTGAAACGTCAAAAAAATCTGACTTAAATTATTTGCATCAAAAATGTAAGGCATCTGTTGTAAGATATATCTCAAAAACAATAATTCATGTGATACATAAGATTTCGTTATATAGTATATGTCTATTGTCTAGCTAATTAGGTAAGTGAAATATTACCACGTTATTAATTATAATTAATGTATATAGTTATTGAAGCATACAATGCGAGATCTTAACTATTTATAATATTGCCGAAATTATTTCTAGGTCTATTTAATACTACGATATAAAAGTAATAAAATACCTAAATTAAAAAAAAACTAATGTGTACAATGCTTTTTACCTAGAAAATAACGATTTCATCTCCAAGACAGTGAAAGAGGAAATAGTACGTACGTTTAAATTCTAGCCACTTACAAGAAAGCAACTGTCTTTGAAATTATATATTGTCAGATTTTATGAAGAAAATTGAAGTGACTTCTTTATTTTACTATTAGTTTATAGGAAATAATCAAGAGTAAGAGTGCGAAAGTATTTTTAAAGAAGCGTCGATCGTTTTTATTGCTCTAGGGAAATCTTTATTTTACAAATATATTTACATACCCCTAAGTAAAAAGTATTTAAGTTTAACATAGGTTCTATATCGTCGAGGCCAAGAACAGCAATGGTTAGATACCTACTAATATTACCTCCGAGTTGTGGAAAAACCAAAGGCAATATTAGTAGGTAATAAATAATAATCAATGACCATTTAACGACCACACAAACACAATCATATATATATTTTAAGTATGAATATTTTATATATAAAATACAAGCACAACATTAGTTCACAACGTACATATGTCTATACTGTTTCAGATTGTGTAAATAATGTTATTTTAGTCAAAAGTATAAGAAGGCATAAACTGGGAAGATAAATTTAAAATAAAAAATTACAAATAACCTTATACCTAATGTTAATATATCGAGGGTAAATTTTAATAATATTTTCTGTCTCAGGTAATCCTCGCAACAAATGCGTTCTTCAACCAGGTCACAGTCTTATGGACTGGATCAGGCTGGGAAATTCGGGGAAAGACTTGAACGGAATCAGCGGCCGCATCAGACCCGTTACACCCACGGAACTGTCGACACACAGTACACAGGGTAAACTAGATCTCTTTCTTTCTTTCTTTTATAAAAATAAATGATTATGTTTGTTTATTTAGTCTCTTAAATTGAATTGTCATTTACACTCTATAATAAAACAATAGAAACTATGTTCTTGGTATATATTACGCAAATTTATTAATTTATTTCTCATGATCGAAACGTCGGCTACGTTTCGGTTAAGAGACGAAACCTCTTAGCATTCAATGGATTCACCGTGCGGGTGCCGGGTCCATCGCGTTGCAGGGAGAGGAGCTTCAACAGTGCCTGGGACTTGCGACCCAGGTGTAGGTTTAAGGGGCCCCTTAACTAACGCGCGTTATACGCTCACCTCCACTGTCCAAGTTCCTCTCCCTACCTAACCAAATTTGAAAAGAACCTACTAGGGCTGCCTTCGACGTACGTTCTAAGAATGAATTAATGTTAGTTCTGGACAGGCCCAAGTCTTTTAGTAGGTTATAGAGAGATTTAGCTGTTATACCTCTCGCTCCCACCTCTACCGCGTACAAATCAACGACGAACCTATTTCGAGTTAGTTCGTTAGTGAGCTCGTAATACTTATTGACCTTGATGGCATGGTCTTTGGGGATGTTGGTTTCCCAAGGCACCGTAAGCTCTATCATCACAACGCGCTTTAAAATACGCGAATATAGAAATAAATTATATTCGGGCGGACGAGATGAAAATGTTTGTCAGTTAATCTTATTCTCTGTCATCTACCACTAACTGTTTCTTGATTTTTTTTTCGTATTTCTCTGGATGCATTCCGAAGGCGAATCTGGGAGTGTGGTATTTGGACATGGCCACATATATTTTTGATGAGAGTACCATAGATGTTAGATAATAATTGCCAGACTTGATTTTTTAATTATATTTGATTATTTCTGTATTATTTATTTTATCTATGTTTTTTCCATACGTTATTTGTGTTGAAATTAAGATGTTTTTTTAATTCCACTAGTCTATGAAAATGTGAATTATCAAACCAGGATCTATTAGGAATCATTGAAAATATTTTCATGTTATGTATTTATTGATATAGATTCAAATTCTGTTTCTAATTTAGTTTTTCTATTAATTTTATCATTAAAATAAATAATTTGTACATGAGTGTAAGTTTAATAAAGCATATGACGAAACTTTAAGAACTTATTAACTTTCTTTGTTATTTAAAGGAATAAAAAAGAAGTTCTAAAAAATTTTCAAACGATTTTCATTATAGAAGTTATTTGTAATACAAACATTCAACAATATCCCAAACAATATTTTAACTTGAATTTAATTATAATTAATTAAATTTCAACGTTTAAAATTTACAGAAGACGCGTGGCTCGCAATTAGGGGAAGAGTTTATAATATTACGTATTATTTACCCTACCATCCCGGAGGTTAGTCGTTTTATTTCAAAGTTTATTTCATAATTACCGCCCAGTTAAGGTTTTGTTATTATCATTGAACTAACCTCTACAGGTCCTGAAGAATTAATGCGTGGCGCTGGTATTGATGCAACAGAACTCTTTGATAAAGTTCATCCATGGGTCAATTACGATTCACTCTTAGCAAAGTGCTTAGTGGGGCCCCTTCGAGCTGATAGACCTGATGCTGAGGAACTTTTTGACATCACAAATGCATCTCCAAAATCTGAACGTCTTAGAGAACCGTCAAAAGCCCAAGAACTCGTTAGAAAATCAATGGAAAATTTAGCAAACTGTATAACACCTGTAAGGAAAAAGATTACTACTAAAAGCGACGACAACGTTAAAGGAAGTCCTCCAAGCAAAATCATGCAAAGTCTAATACAGTCGAGTGATCTGCCAGTGTCAATAAGTCGTAGAGCTGCGTCGAGTCCAATTAAGTCTGACAAAGCACAAGGGTCACCGCCTCCTTTGCGTTTCGACTGGATACAAACATCAATGAAACTTACTATCTCAATATACACTGGTCTTTTAGCTAATCCAGGTGGATGTGCAAAGATAACAGACGGTCGATTACATGTGGAAGTAGCTACTGACGGATGGCTTAGAACGGTGCAGTTAATACCGGATGAACAAATTAAAGATCCTTTGCAATTGAGGGTTTTCTCTGAGAGCGGAAAAATTGAGGTCAGATTCTATTGAAAGTTATAAATATCGTATTTTCATCTTTTATCACAAATCAAAGTTTGTTATTAGCATTGATTTTATTTCCTTAACGTTTATGCACATTAACATAATGTAGGTGATGGCGTCTAAAGTGGAACACAAGGTTTGGAAGAACGTGGGTGTGATGTCCTTCGGCGCTGCCACTCAGATATCCTCTCCGCGGACATTAGACTGTCGGGTGATGCATGTGGAGCGAGTCTCCCATGACACTATGTTACTTGCTTTGTCACCTGTGTCTGGTCCGGTTATTGTGCCACTAGGACACCATATTCGAGTTCACCACAAAATAAACGGTAATTACATAGTTGTCCCGAGTTAAAGTATTATCAGGTTTACATATATTATTGTTGAATTAAATAAAATACTTATTATTAATAAATACATTCGGATGCGTCAATCTAATGAGAAATACTGCGTTACTTTTTTTCACTCCTGTCAAACAGTAATAACAATAATGCGCATGAAATTATTTTTAATACTCTTTCAAATACGACAAAATTTAATGTATACACAAAGCAATACCTAATTGCTGAAATCAAATCTTACATCTTATATCGTACGTGATCGTCTTTCAAAGTTACTTATATGTATAATGTTGTTTACAAAGACGCTTACAAGTTTTGCTACCTTCAGATAAGGAGTGTATACGTTCGTACACCCCAGTGGGAGATGGGTGGGACAATTTTGGCGGTGACCTGAGCGCATTGAAATTGGCGATTAAGAGATATGATACAGGGGATCTATCACCGTACCTCACGTCCTTGAAGTTAGGTCATCTCGTCACGCTTTCGGGACCGTATGGAAATTTTCAATTACAGAAGGTGAGGAGACATAACAAATTTTTTTACATCTGTATTTCATGAATTCGATGATTATGTATTATTGTTGAATTTGTTCAAAAATAAATCTATTTTCCATTACAAGAGAATCATTCGATTCATATACACAAATTCTACATTGAGTATTTTACTATTGTTCTTATATTCATCTGTTTGTTGTTGAGAACTTTATTCAGGCTCATTACATCATTAACATTATCTAAAGCATCGAAATTGATAACTACTCTAATTGGTATAAATATAAAAAGTGACCGAAACTGGGCCAAGAATGTGTAAAAAATCATTGGAACTATATAAAAACTCTCATTTCAGCTAAAACAAGTAAAAGTAATGTATTTGATAGCCGCAGGCAGCGGGATAACGCCAATGTTGGGCTTATTGAGATTTATGCTGGCGCGATCTAACCTCAAATGGTAAGCATATTAGGATCTACAGTATCTATTGGATATTGAACTGTTATATAGAAACTCGATTAAATATATGTGTTTCTATTTCTGAAAGAATTAAAAGAAAAAAAAATTGAATGTATCAGATGGTTATACTCTGTTTTTTTATGATTGAAATTAATACCGTTTATATTAATTATATAACTTTTATATTCTTCCGACAGCAAACGCGTCCACTTGCTTTTCTTCAACAAAACAGAAGAAGATATACTTTTTAAAGACAAAATTGATGAAATAATAAAACAAGACGACAGGTGAGTTATAATATCTCTTCAAAGTATAATTATTGATGATACTGAGACAATTATATTAATTCAGTAACTTTATATTAAATTACACAAAAATGAAAATTACACAAAAAATATTTTTTCCCTCGAATATTAGAACCACATGATATGTATTGCTTACCTTAAAATTTCCGTTTAATTACAAGTTGACAAAATAATTCTTGTGTATACTATAATATTTACAACACAGTAGATATACCTAGCTAGATGTATGTGTTAAATTTTACGAACTTCTAAATAGATTAACCGTTAATACAGTAACGGTATTACACCAATGTATCACAATATATGTATATCTTCTTTAAGTAGAAATGTAATCTAATATTCAGAATTTCTTAATTCAAATCGACTTACGTAGATACTTGAATTTACCAGGTGAAGATTTCCCAACCTTGTTATTATAATAATTTAAAACATATTGTTGACACTAATTAGAACTAATATGTACTATCTAAAAGTCAAATTGTAGTAAAAGTCTAACCTTAATATGTGTATAAAAATTTGAGTAACATTAATTTTATCGAATTATGAATGGAAATTCTCGTAAAGGTATGTGTTGTTGTTAATCTGATTCCAAGACTAATTCTTTTACAGATTAAATGTGATTCACGTCTTATCAAACGCCAGCTCGTCTTGGACGGGCCTTAAGGGCCGGATTAGCAGCGAGATCCTTTCTTTAGTTATAGATAAGGAGCTTTACACACAGGAGCAACATTTCGCATGCCTTTGTGGCAAAACCGAGTTTACGCAAGCCGGTCTAGAGATTTTAAAGAGGTTGGGTGTGAAAGAGACCGATATACATGCATTTATTGGATAATGTATATGATTACGTATATGTACAGTTTGTTTGAATTTTATTTTACATCAATGTTTTATTTAAAAAAATTGTTTTATATTTTCTATATCTTAACAACCAAACAATAAGCAGTGATTTGATAAATTATGGTGTTATTTATCAAAGAAGTATTAAACAGTGTTCCTTATTGTTTTATGAACAGAGCCGGACAGACGTATTTATGTAGTTACCAGTCTTAACGTAAATTTATGAGTTAAATATATATTTATATAGAATAAAACATTCGTTGCAATCTCTACTATATTCTCTCGTATTTGATTTTGAAAGTCGTGTTAAAAATTATTTTATATTCTCAAAATGATGCGACCACAGATTCATATAACAAAAAGTTTCGCTGCGTTCCCCTAGAATTGGAAAATATTCATAGTACCTTTATTTTAAATAAGTTATATGTACAGATGATAATATATATACTTATAATTTTATACTTACACATATGTATATACCTGTATAGTGTTAGCGGTAAAAAGGAAGACTCGTCCCAGGAGTGAGAAGGTTAATGCGTAGTTCAGTTAATGATTAATTATTTTAATTGTCCACTTAGTATATGAACAATGTACCTATACATTTTACGGGATAAATATAGCAATAAATAATACATCACTGGTAAAAGAGGGTTTTGCGATTGCACAATTTATTCAGTCATTAATGTCCGAAATATAAAATAAATATAATTAAAGTGTGATATACTAAATAATATAAGAATAGAAATAGTGTCGTGTCTTTGTTCTAATACTTAGAATTATAATGACAATGATAGAAAATATCGTTTACCTATAAAATTACTGTTTTATTACGTCCACACATTTTTCTAAATAGAATTAATACATTATGTAATAGAAAAAACAAATATTTAAACCATTCATAAAGATTATATATGTAAAAAAATTACCTTTACTATTTTTGTAACAATTCTAAGATATAGATACATATAGAAAATTTTAACATTGAATTTTAGGAATTCTTACTAATACGTAATCATAAAATCATTTCAAATGAGTCATATTTTATCCGAAATTCTGGTTTTTAAATATTAAATAAAATACGGTAAGTCGCTTGATGAACATTTGTAAAATTGAAACAAACACTGATTTTTCTATTATTTTCATCATATTATTGTTCATTTATCAATGAGAAACTTAATACCAATTTCTTAGTATTATTTAAGATTGGCCCACCAAACACGATTGATCAAATATATCTACATATTTCTATACTTTTGTAGTTAAAGCAAGGTTTTCAATTTTAATTGTTGTTAGATTTGATTTTTAAATTAATTTATTTAGCAAGTACGTAGGATAAAAAATTTAATTCCAGGCCTTAAAATAAAATCATCAGTATAAAGTAAATTACACTATATTAGAATGTTCTCTGTAAATTAATAAAGTGCCTACATTCCAGGTGAAATGCTAAAGTTCAGAAATGAGTTGAGAATTTTAATAAATTATTATGAATAATAAACGAGTGTTTTAATATATTCCTCTCAGTGGCTTTTATTAGTTTTTATAGAAAATATTTACAATGTTAAAAAGAATTGTTAAAGAAGCTCGTGTAAAAAGAGTTATTTATTTTAATGTTAATAATAAATATATAAGAAAATATTAATGAAGTGGTGGAGGTTATGTATATCTTCCGGCTAAAAATAATAATATTGTAAATGAAAAAATACGTCATTAAAACATTTCTATTGCAGTATTTTGCCATTTGAAAAAGAACATGACTGTTGGAGAATTACGTTCATAAAATTGACTTATGTGCTGAGAAACTTATTTTTTTCTCAATAAAGGAGAAAAAAACGCGTCTTAATGTTTCTTTGCCTAAATAATCACTAAAACAGAGTGTAGTATTCACATACAATTTTTGAATCATATAAAACAAAGCGAATGGAACACATTTTTCTTGTTTTGAAAATATTTTATAATCACAAGATATTTACAGACGAAGCATAAGAGTCTTTTTAGATGGACTGAGGCCTAAAACTTGTCATTAAAAATGACGGAAATGGTGAAGGCATTATTGCCTACTCAAATTAAAACTTTTATTGTTCTTCTTAAGCTTATCAAATCAGATTAATCAATTACTTATCGATCATATTATCAAATTTTATTCAACCGATATTTCACTTGGGTTTCTTATACCTATTATAAAGTGATTAATCAAAGAGATTTTAACATAACGTCGATCACGAGAACCTTTTTCTGTTAAATAATATTTTAATAGCCGGCATTACCGTAGATTATTTGTTGGAAACCCGAACTAATAAGCAGAAGAAAAAGAAATGAAAATACAAACATAAGAATGAAAACCAAGCAACCTTTATTAACAGAGCTGAATAAGTTCGCGGGCTGAACATTTTTTCTTTGGGTCTGGCAATCAAAAAATAATTAAAAAGTTTTAAAGCACAATCAAACCCTTATAAAGTCGAGTGAATTTTTGATTGTATTGCTCTGGGTAAAGCGAGTTTTTTGTCTCTGGGGAAATCCTGAACTTTATTAATTGAAGTGTTTTTTTTATCTTATTTCTAAATAATATATTACTGACATGTGCACACGTATCTAATTTACGAAGATTAGAAATATAGTTATTAATGAAATAAAATAGTTTGGTTACGATGATTTGAAAACAAATCTCCAAAGAAATTAGACCGCTGGACTTCAGAGCATTTAGAGAGAAAAACTCCCTACTACTTGTAACTTTTATAAATTATTGAACTAAGGAGAAAGATAGACAGAAGGTTTCATGGGCATACATAAAAACTTTTGGCACAGTAGCAGTCATCACCACTGCATTGTATGAAAAGATATCATCCCATTTAAGTTTTCAAACGATTATGTTTTCTAAGGGTCGGCTCTGTTTACAATTTGTTTTTTTAATTTTTATGTCCACTAAATAACAATACACTTTAAATGACGAAATTAAAAAGTGATAAGAATTTGTTATTAAAAAAATTACTATTTAGAAAAAATATCCAATGTGTATTATATCCAAAGTATATTGTGACTTCAATCACATCACATCACTTTAACAATATAGTCTAGCGCTTCAATTAGCTGGATTCAATCAACTTAATAGTATAGTAGTGGCTTCAGTAATATCTAGTTACATTTTTTCATTAATATTATGGCCAGTCAGAAGTTCCAAAGAGGCTAAAGACGTACTTAGACGTATATTATAATTAAAATCATGTACCTGACTAAATAAAACTTTATGATTGCGCAGATATTAAGATAGAAACAACCTTTCATGTTTGTGACGTATAAGATATCTTCTGGTTCATACAGCCAAGTTCCCTTTCAGTTAGCAACGTCACCCGTTATATTACGTTTTATATATAAAAGACTGCTGGCCTCACGATGTTAGTTCAAATTTACTCAACAAACTGAAATTTAACATTCAAGTGTAAATAAACAAATGTCATCATGTCATCAGCCTATC